TTAACCTTGTTCCAGCGTCTGTCTGATCTCTGCTGCAGCTGGCCAAGTGCCACTGTTTGTCTGTGCACAACGGACGCAAACAGCTTCTTGGAGGGTCATGTGAAACTACCCTGAGCTCTTTAAATCGCACCGCCCTTACCTTTTCTCCTCCGCTGCCAGCATTGCTTTAACAGGTGTGGCTTTGTTTATGCACGTCTGCCGCTTTATTTTCGCACCTGGGTTGTGCTGGCCCTCCGTGCCCGGAGGAAACCTTTGGTTCCACGCTTTGCGGGAGCTGCAGGAGAAGTCTGCGGACCTTCTGGGCAGGGGTTTGCACCTAACGAAATGGGCAGGGGCTCCAGCTTTGTAAGGGCAGCACCGGCAATCGTTAGGCATCGAAACCTCTGCTTCTGAAAACTTTGGTATATCTTGCCATGACTTTTGGCTTAAGCTTGTGAATAAGGCCTGTGGTTTTTGACATCTTCTGGTACAGCTGTAAGGTGATTCCAGAGAGGGCGCATCCTATTCCTGTAAGTTATTGGTACTTGCTAGTTAAAAAAAAAAAATCTGGTTTAATTGAAGAGTTACGGGCTTGCAGCCAGCTGTAAGCCTGAAATAAGGTTTTTTTCAGTTAAGTTTGCGTGTGTTACTGCTGTGGGAAACCCAAAGGTAAAAAGATGCATCTCAGCCCCATCTCACCTCTGTTACTACATAGTACTGCATGCATCTTGCCTTTCAGTGGGGATTGCTGTGTGTTGGGACAACTGAAAACACAGGTGTGCAATAAACACCCTATAACTGGTTTTCTTGTTCCTCCTTCCATTTCTGTTGGGATGCCTTGTTGCTCTTCCCAGCCAAGAGGCAATATCAACTGCATCCATGCATTGCACATCCAGACTTGTTCCCAGGAAGTGGAACTAATGCTGCTAAACTGCATCTATGGGGTTTTAGCTACCCAATAAAAATACATGATGTTGAATTCCTTGGAGGGAAACGTGCAAAGAAAAGTGCTGTGCTAGCAGGAAGGATGCTCTGCTATGTTCTCCCTGCCTGTGATGCTCACCTTTCAGCCTTTGTACTGCGAGCAATCAGCTTCAGCTTTAAGTTTTGGCTGAAACTTTTCCTAGATAAGTATCTCCTCCCCGCTGTTGTCCTTGGAGCCTTTGAAAGAATTAACTTTCTGTGGAACAGATTCTTAATTTTGTATGTGCTTTCTATAGTTGCCTTCTCATGCCACAAGTCCCAAATTTCCTGCTTGAAATTTAAAATTGAGATGATGTGGGCCAGGTCAGTGCTGGCTGTGTGGTATCCCAGAGAAAATGAGATACATCCAGTGAAAATGACTAGTACTCCAAAAGCAGTAATAATGTTAGGATGTGATACCCTGCAGTTGCAAGGGATTTGACAGAGACAGGAGCTCGTGAGTTGCTTGTTCCCAATACATGTTCTGTTAGTTCCAGTGAAAGAGCGAACAAATATTGTCGTGCTTCAAGAAAGTGAGAACAAAGACAGTCATGCTGACAGGAGGGTTTTTTTTTTCCTAAGAAGCAACTACAAAAACTTGTGAGATTAGCTAGATGTAGTTCATGAACCAACAGCCAGTGTCGTGAAAATTAATGGCAAGGATGTGAAGAGCTATAAGGGGAAGTAGCGAATACAGGGGCAGAAGTCCGAGTGGTCCCAGTTGTGTCTGGCATAGATAGACGGATGCAATATGTATCTTACCATATATTGGTTACTTGTAAAAACCTCACTTACACCACTGTTGGCAGTTCTTGTCTTAGAAACGTCTGTGGGCTCCTGAGTTGATCCCTGATGGTGAAGGCACTCAAGAGCATACTCGACTTGAATCCAAAGCTCAAGTTTCTGCTGTTTGAGACAGTCTCTCCGAAGAAGAGAAAATATAATTTATTTCATATCCTGTATAACTATATACAATCCTTGTCCCCAGACAGTATATCCATTGTGCTTTTGAGCATTAGCTTATATTCTGAAATGTTGGGCTGAGAGCTCATGGTTGCACACAGTTGAATTGCCGCTCGCTGTGTGCATGTTATTGCTCTGCTGTAATTACAACATCATTTGCTGTGATGGTGGTTCCTATGTTTTGACATAAATGTGGGTAATGCCATTGTGTATTTATCCCACACTTTGGGCACAGCAGGAACATGTATACAGTCACGTATATCACTGCAGCAGTTTATGGTCGGTGATATATCAATGCAGTCAACTTTATACGCTTGCTTCTGTTTTTCCAAACCCACCCTTAACTGGTACATGCAAAGGTATGCCAGCTTTGTAAAACCATGTACCTGCTCTAAATTTCCTTCTGACACTTCTAAAATGCAATGCGACGTATCTTGCTTTTCTTATTTTTTGTTTATAATTCAGTTTTCCTGCTTTCTCCTAGTAGTCGTCTTTGGCAAGATCTGTGAGAAACTGTGATGTTTTAGACTTAGTCAAATTCAGTCTGTGTTAAAACTTCTTGAAACCTGATCTTGTGAGAGTTCTAGTATGAGAAAAAAAACACCCAACACAAAAAAAAAAAGCCAACAAAAAACCAGGTTGGCATCCAGGGCCATGGATGTTTATCTAAACTGAACTTCTCATTCCTCTTGAGGTTTAGTAGTTCACTACTGAATCTGTTTCAGTCCAGTTAATTAGTTACAAACCCCTAAGCCACAGACTTGGAATTAAAGAAAACAAAGCCCCAAGCCTCCACGTAATTTGATGCAACTTTTGTTAAACTAGGAAGTACGTTTACATCATGATTTCCCAGTTTGAAATGCAAACTGGTGTACAGATCAGTGAACAGCATAGTCATTGATTCTGGATTCATTCCATATGTATAAATGTGACAATCTGATGTCCCCCTATAATCTCACCCCCTCTCACCCCCCCCAGGTATTGGCCTCTCCTTTCAGAGCTATGGCAGGGATTGTTTTTTGTATTGGTCGTTTGACTGTGTGTAATACAGCTTACAGTGAGTACAGGACACCTGTTTTTGATAAGATTTTCTGCTCTTCTGTTTTTAGGACAATGTAGATCAGACCTCGGCTCATGGTCGGCGAGACCTGGTGGAACCAGGTTTCCAAGAACCATCTAACCGCATCTCCCTGAATCACCAAGGTAAGGGAAGAGTGGGTGGGAATCCAGGCTCCTTGGGAGGATGTGAAAATGGTTTTGCCTCCATGATTTGCCATTTTTCCTTCTCATTAAAAAAAAAGAAAAGTTCTGGATGGTTGGAGGAGACAACTGTCATAACTGTCCTTTGAACTACGGATGAAGATGACTAAGGACATGTGGTGCATCTCAAGCCTTGTAAACCAAACTGGGTTCCTAGCTTGGGGGTGGCAGGGATATTCTCCTGGTTTTAGGAGGGGGGAGGGGGAAGTACTGAAATTGAATTCCACATTTGTAATGTTAAATTGCATTTGAAAAGAATCTCTGACTGCCATAAGTAGGGTTCAGGGCGCTTGCTCAACTTTTGCAGTAGGAGAAAAGAAGAGTAAAGTATGTTTACTTGCTTTGGATGACAGAAATCATCTCATTAGGGGAAAATAAGTCCCAAACTAGGTGTTGTAATGCTGGTGCAATAGTTCAGCTTCTGTAATTCAACCAAACCATACAGAAAAAGTTAAAATAAATCTTAAAAGTCTTTCTTTGCCAGTTTCTGTCTGTTCAGATACCTAAAAAAAAGACAGTTACTGTTATAGCAGGGACTTTTTAGCTCAGCTTTATTTTTTTGTCTTTGAAATAATTAATAATAGAAAGTGCTGTCTTAACCAATGAACCCCCTTACCCTGAGGGTTCCTGATGGCTTAATTTGGAACCAAGTCCTTGAAGGTCATCTTCAAATGTTGTTTCTTCAGTGCAACAGCTAATAGTATTGCAGTCAGCACAAGGCTATTGAAACAAAAAAGATCGCAAACATATTACTTAAAGTATTTGCCAAATATGACATGCTTAACTTTTCCTTTAAAAATCTGGCTTCTTTTCTTTGCCAAGGACATCAAGACTGGAATTTCATGACTTGTAGATCCTCAAGGCTATTTCAGTTTCACAAACAAATCCCAGAATGTAACGAGGATTGTATTTTAACGTACTCCCCTGTTCTTCGCCCCGAGTCTTCCAGTTTTTTAAAGCTTTGCTTTCAATTGAAAATAGAAGATAACAGGTTGCCATCTTATCCAATCTGAAACTTCTAGTAGCACAGGCAGTGTTGTGGCATGCTTGGAGGCATACAGCACAGAGTTTATAAACTCTATTTTTCATTCATATTAGAACGGTACTGTTACATTAATTTCACCTATCTTGGGATGCACAAATCCTGGAGCAGAACAGGTGACTTCTTCTGAAGCTGTTTGTAAATACCCCCCTTTGTTCAAGGGATTTTTTTTTTGAGAAATACATCCTGCATGGACTAAGTTCATGTGTTGAAGTATGTGTGGCTGCTGCTTATGAAGTCTGAATGTTTATTGAAGAGATGGGTAATACTGCGTTTTGATGGCAAAATGCCAGCTTTGCAGCCTGACATTCTCCTACTCCCTTTTGCAGATCCTTCTTTTCCTCTGTCAATATTGTAGTACTGCAGAAGGATCCATACAGTGTCACCTGATGTGTGGCTCTGCCTCAGCCACTTTGAGACAAATGTCTATATGTGAACTGGTCCAAATTATGTTATAAATATTATTATATTATCTGTTTATGAAGCAAGACCAAATTAACATTTTTCCCAATACTTTCTGAAGTAAAGATCACTTTTGCACCCACAAATTGTTTGAGACTTTTTTGTCTGTGACAGCTGACTGACAGCAATCAAATCCAGTATTTCTAAAATCTTCCTGATTTTGTGCTGAAGTAGGTATTTGGCATATTTGTTAATCTTGCCTCCCCCTGTGACCATGAAACGCTGTTACACAAATGGCATGAATTAAGAAGTGAAACCTGAGTGCCCAGTCAGTGGTGGCCTCTGATGCAGCGCTGGGCTGTAGCACTTGCGTCTTTTTGCAGTGTCAAAGGGAAGCAATGTGCCTTGCAGGCATGATACCTGCTGCTTCAGTATTTTTCTGGAAGTGGAAGCAGCTGTAAGCATGATGTTATGCCATGTCTTGTGTGTTTGTTCTGTCCACACTCTTTAATAGCGTATGAAATAGACATTGTTGTCCAGTAACTTGTATAAGTATTTTAGGAGCTGCCACATATGCCAGTAACTGATTAATGAATAGTACATAGGAAAATAAAACATGAAGAGCTTCAGAGGGAGTTGTGACATGGTCTGAACTAGCTCTGATGCAGTCATATTAGTCACACAATAAATAGGAAGACTGGATTATTAATATAAAGTGGGTTTTTAAGTTCTGTGGCAGCTGTTTGCTTTGGTTTTTTTATCCTTACGCTAAACTGTGTTATCCATTATCCATTAAAACTTGGTTGGCATTGACTTCAGTGAAAAACTTAAGAGTAAGCCTGTATCCAGAAGTAACTTGCAGGACCACTGCTTGCATTTAATAAATTAATCTGTTTGGTGGTATGTCTTGATTTATGCTGATGATAAAGATATTTGCAACAGACGATGGCAAATTTTGCTTTCGGTTATACACAACATTACTTGCTGACTTCAGCTTACACGGACTAGAAGATCTAAAGCTTTTTTCCATATTTCACAAGACTTAAGGAAAACTGGTAGTCTTGTAACAAAACTGGTTTAATATATACTTAATATGAGCAGAAATTGTAGGATTACAATTGGCTAAAATATTTCATATGTTAGATGCTCCCTGCATTTTTACCTTTAGTGTGCTGTGCCTTAAATGCTGCAGCTGAACTCTGAGCAACTGTACTAACTTATGTTATTTAACGTATACACTTCCAATTCATACCTGACCACATTGCTTAGTGAGCGCAGCAGATTTGCCAGTTTCTGTTGAACATTAACTTAGAGCCCTTTGCTTTTCACTGGGAGAGCTTTGGTACAAGCACTTGCAATTCCGAACCAGACCCTGCTTTCCATGGCCCATAAAAATGGTGATTAGCTTCCTCCTAGGCATCTGAATCCCTTCAACACAAGCTGGAAAAAGAGCATTCAAGTGGAGACTGACATCTCCCTGCCAACTGTCCCTGCGTGAATAAGCTCTTTCTTGTGAAGGGTATTTCAAGTACACGTTTCCTGCTGGATCACTCTTTTTACACAAGCGGATGCTTATAACTGTTCAGCTTTTTATTTTAAAAGAATATCTTGTAAAGATTGGGGAGCAGAGAATACTTTTTGTGAAGTGAGGGGTCTTTAAAATAAGCGGGTTTCATACGAAAAGGATGTAAAAAGTTGAGCACAGATGGAATAATGTTGTTTCCTAGAAGTAGTTCAATAACTGCTTATGTGCAGGTATACTGATAAGCTCGCTTACTTTAACAATAAGTACTTTTATATCTAAGCCATTATTTAGTATTCACTTTTCAATGATTCTGCTAGTTGGGCAAATTGCATAAAGGTACTAAACACAGAGCAGGAACTAGGATTTCTTACCTCTGTTCCC